TTGCTGCAAGTGTAAGAGGTTGCATAATTATGTACACCAATGGCCAATGCAGTCACAAGGACACAGTTTTGTTTTCATTTTGACTGTGATGTTTTAGAAGAGACTATGTAAAGACTATTTTTTTGCTCATTTGAAAAGTGCAAAGGAGCTTATGAGTTTTAACACCTATTGCACCGTTTGGTGTGTGTGTGTGTGTGTGTGTGTGTGTGTAGTCAAAGGTCACCCCCAGGCTCTGTACCCTTGTGGGCATTATCTGACAGTGGATTTGTTTAGTTTGGGGAGGACGCTGTTGCTCAGCTCTTGGTAAGCATGTGCTCTGCTTTAAAGTCCAAACTCCAAGGCCTGGCCTGACGGCTGGATCTGATGCCTGCTGCTGCACACACTTGGGAAGGATAGCTATTATTATGCACACATGGCAGTCATCTCTGTAGGAGATATAAAGCCATAACATGTAAAGCTACACAAACCAGATGGAGTGAGAGAATGTCCAGTGGCACTGTAATACCTGTGTGCTGGCAGTGGTCATCCCAAGTATCTTATAACCTCCCCCTCCTCTATTTACTATACACACACTCACATATACACATTTTGAATAAGGCTGTCCACACCACTCCAGTTGGTCAGATGCATATAACTTTATTTGGGTTATCTGTTCAACATGCAATGTGAGGCCATATTGTGTTGTAGCCTGCACACGCTCACCCACATATTTCACACCATACTGGAATAATCTCACAAGTAATGTTTGTAAGTTTGCTTTGGGCTGAGAGGGATCAGAATGGAACAATGTGATAAGTTAAACAAACATAAAATAACATAACAGCCCCAAAACCTTGAAAAATCACATTTCAATCTCCTTCCTAGAGGTCCGGCTCAGGAGAACATTTAATATTTACCGAAATAAGTCAACTAAATAAGATGTATGCTTTTGAAGATTTTTATTTGCTTTTTAAGATAGTGTGGAAGATCCTGGGTGAAGTCACCAGCCTGTAACTCACCTGCCTTGTGATGTGTGTTGACACATTGTGTTTGTATAATGTTTAAAATCAGATGTGTCCATTACTTGTCCTGAATCAGCTCGCATATGCCAGTGTGTGCAGCTGTATGAAAAGTGAACAGGGTGTTGGCAGGGAAAGAAGCCTGTTCCGCTGATTTTGCGCAGTAAATAAAGATTTCAAAGCTGATTGGGTATCTGTCAGTAACTCAGGCCTGGCCCAGTAGTGCTGTGCACTGTACCTGGCTTCAGGCCAGCCGTTATTCCCGATACCATGTGCCAGCCGGTGCACATGGCCCCTGCATCATGCTGTCAGTCCCACAAAAGGCTGGCTTGCCTACTCGGAGATCTCTTCTGGCACACAGGAAGAGCTGCATGTCTTGGATACATCCCAGTTTCCCCTCTTGGAATAGCTGGGTGACCAGGCCTTGACCTCAGAAGTGCTTGAATTTACCACTCTGTCTGTTGTGTTGAGGAAGTAGAAAAGCCTTATTTTCTATTTCTTAATGTCTGCAAAGTTGTATCAGAAATCTAATTTTAGCCTTTGGGAATTTGTTTATCTATTTGTTCTAGCCTCGCTGTGCATTGCTGCTCCATAAATAAATCAGCACTTCATTGGCAGTAGCTTACATGGGGACAAAAAAAACTCCAATGTTGACAGTCTGTGGTGTGGGTGAAATCCAGTACGTTGAGGGTTAAGTTGTGAAAGTTAATGTAATAACTGCTAGCACCATCTGCTGGCCTACTTCCTTACAAAGAGAGAGAGAGTGAGAGCGCGAGTGAGTGAGAGAGAGCGAGCAAGGGAGAGAGAGAGAAAAACGAGTCTGGGTTTTAACGACATCTCTAATATTCATGCTGATGCATTTTGCTGCTTTGTGCTTTCATTTTCCGCCGCTCTGCCTGCCAGAGTCTCGAGCTCGCCATACACGCCCCAGCCAGGGAGAGGGGAGGGCAGCGAGGGAGAACCAGAGAACGACAAGTGGGGGAAAAAGAGAGGAAAAAACAACTGGCCAAACAAGCAAGCAAGCTAACACAAAAGCCTTTTTGTGTGGTAATAAAAGGAGTAACCTACCTTATCCTGGCTGAAGACGAGGAGAGGCGCAAAAGGGGGAACGGCAAAGCGGAAAGAGCAAGAAAGAACGAGAAATAAGAGGGGGAAAAGCTCAGAGAGGTACAGAGAGCGCACGCGAAAGCCAGGCGGAAAGGGGAATCAATGAGAGGGGAGGAGAGAGGAGGCAGGGGAAGGCAACTCTGACACACTCATACAGAGAGAGAGTGAGGGAGACTTGGGTGAAGCCGGACGACGGCAAAGCAGCACGCAGTAGCAGAATGAGAGTTTCCTGGACTGCCACGCACCTCCTCTACCGCCCACAGCGCTGCTCCCTCATCACCCTGTGAAGAGACAAACGAGGGTGAGAGAGAGAGGGAGAGAGAGAGAGAGCTCCCATGCGCTCCTCTTGAGCCCTGCCCGCTGGGGGAGGAGGAGACGAACGGCTACAGCGCTCTCGCACTGCCTGAGGAGACGAGCTGACCGGGGAGGAGGAGAGAGGGAGGGGAGGGGGGGACACACGGCTCTAGGAAGAGTGAGAGAAAACGACTGTTGAAAGAGTGCGTGTGTTTGTAAGAGAAAAGCGTGAGCGAGCAACGGAGAGAGAAAAAACCCGGCGAAAGGGCAAGGCTTTTGTTAGCCGGTTGGAGAGGGGGAGGAAAGAGGAAGAAAAAAAAAACACCATGTCTACAGTGAAGAGGCCAAGAGGAAGGGTAAGTGAGCTGCTCCGAGAGCTGGGAGGGAGGAGGGACGAGGGGGAGGAGGAGGGGCCGGCAGGAACTGAACAACCTCCTCTGCTACTGGCTCATGCTGCACTGCCGCCATCTTGAACTCATTGCTGCTTTATTTTCCTCCCCTCCATACTCATTTGCTTTGCTGTGCTAGATCTTATCAAGGCACACTGGTTTTACAGGGTTTCTTTCCCCCACCCCCCACTGTCTATTCATTCTATACATCACTTTACTGCCCTCCTTTTGAATCCTCTCTTCAGGCTGCCCTTCTCTGTAGTTTATGTACAGTGCACGGTGTGTGTGTGTGTGTGTGTGTGTGTGTGTGTTCGCGTCCTCCATGTGTTGAACCTGTCAGTCACCAGAGAGCTCACTACATGTGGAAATGAGGGGGAGAGAGTGAGGGAAAGCTGGCCGGCCCACATGGAGCTTACTCTACCTTTTCATGGGCTGTAATAGTCCTCAGCGTTTTCCGTGGGACTACGTGCTGTTAGGGAGATTGAAATCACTGCAGTGCTGGCAGGCTGTAATTTCAGTTATTTATAGATGTATTACACAGCTGCAGTGCTCTCACTTTTGGTGCATTTTTATCTTTTCTCCCCCTCTCTCTCTGTCCCTCTCTCT